GCTTCCCTCCCGGTGCAAGAGTACCTGTCCATGCCTTTCCACCAGGCTCACAAACAATAGGAGACGGCCAGACACCTGCCGCCTCCCCTCTATGTCCTCTTTGACCACCATGAAACTGCTAAAGACCAGAGTACAGTGCCGCCTGGCGCTCCACAAACAGTTCGGGTCCCTGGAATACGGCATTGTACCAGTTACTAGCGATTGCCACTACCTCTTCCCTGCAAAGGTTGTCTCTCGCCTGGTGAAGTGGGTGACGATTGCCCATGAGGATTACGTGGTAGGTAGAGGAGTGACGGGTCATCATTGCTGTCCTGGGGACCTTAGGCTGATGTCTCCACCAGGCGGGCAGGAGGTTTTAAAGGAGCCAGCAGTTCATTCCTTGTCTGTGTTGACTTCTAGGAGCTGCATTTCACCAAAGACATTGTGGAGGCAGGACTGGCTGCGGACACCAATCTCTACTACATGGCACTCGTGGAAAGGGGCACAGCCAAACTCCAGGCAGCTGTGGTGCTGAACCCTGGCTACTCCTTTATCCCACTCATTTTCCAGCTCTGTCTGAACTGGAAAGGGGAGAAAACCAACAGCAATGCTGACAATATTCGGGCCATGGAGAGCGAGGCCAACGTGTGCTACAAGGAGCTGTGTGGGCCCCGGCCCGGCCATCAGCTCTTGACCAACCAGCTGCAGCGCCTGTGTGTGCTACTAGACGTCTACCTGGAGACCGAGATCCATGATGACAGCATGGAGGGGCCCAAGGAGTTTCCCCAGGAGAAGACGTGTCTGCGGCTTTTCAGGGGTCCCAGCAGGATGAAGCCATTTAAATATAACCATCCTCAAGGATTTTTCAGCCATTGCTGACCAGCTCGGCCTGTTGTTTCCCCTGGGCCCTCAGTGCTGTGCCTCCGCTTTCTCTTCTGTTCCACATGTGGCTCCTGATAGTCTCCAAAGACAGGTTTTATATTTCTAGCCAATTAAAGTGTCATCTGACCAAAAACAAAAAGATATAGGTGGTTAGGACTCGACTCCATTATTCAAGCGTAACACCTAGTATTCACTAACACAATTACTATGTGATCACGCAGCCAAACTGTTACAACCGATTTACAGCCGTGATTCTCCAACCTTCATGTGCACCAGAATCAGCTGGGGCTTGTCAAACACACGTTGCCTGGCTCCACCCCGTGTCAGTTCTGTGGGGCAGGAATGGGGTCCTTCAATGGACAAATGTAACAAGATCCCAGGTGATGCCCAGGCGGCCTGTCTGGGGACTACACATCGAAAATCGCTGCTCTCAAAGAGTATATTATTATGGACATGAATTTCATTCAGCGTCTGAAATAGACTATAGGATGCAGCTTATGTTGAACTGTTGTTCTTCCAGAGGGCGGCAGGCATTGGAAGTGTGGCCATGTTGCACTTCGGCATGATCTCTGCGGATGGCACTGTGGACTGGTTTGAGTGAAGTCCTTGCGGACATAACATTCATTGTCACAGTTGTTGGGTATTGAGTTATCAGTTCTTTGAAGAAAAAATTTTGAGAAGGTGTGGGAGGAATCTGTTTCATAAAATTGCACCATGAAGCTCATGGCTAACCTTTGACTAGCAGGAGTTTTAAGTATGCTATGAGAAATCTGTAAGGAAGAGTGAAATTACCAGATAGTGAAAGAAACGTGAGCTTGCCAGACAAGGATTTCGGTGTAGATTTTTGTCTTTATTCGATGATCTTCAACAAGTGACTGTGAAACATTGAAGAAAGAACCCGCCATCGTTACACCCACATCTGGGTGTCGCTGTTTACATTTCTTTCTTGAGCCTATATCCTCATAAGCTTTTTAGCAAGAATATGGGGAGCACTTCTGTTTCATGGTCAAGACAGGATCAGAGGCCATGGATACTGACAACAGATCGGTCTATTTCATTCTGTCTTTTTCCGTGGTTATATCTCCTGCCCCGTCTCGATTTATAAGCGAAACCTAGACAACCTACAAGAATGT